ATACAACTATGAGACCAGAAGAACTAGATGGTGCCCGGCTACCACTGTCATCCACTTGGAAGGGGATCTATGTAGGAGATCCTTGATAAAGAGAGAGAACAATGCGGAACAAAACTCAAAATCATTTGGAGAAAAAAAAAAAAGTTTGGGACCAAGTTTGCTGGTCCAATAGAGCCTGGTGGAACCACTGAGACTATGGCCCCTAGCTGCCCTTCAGGTCTGGAATTGAACCCACACTTGTTGTTTCCAGCCAAACAAAATACAGGCATATGAGTTGAACATTTACCTCAAGTAGATACACTCCTTGGACAGAACCATCATGGGAGAAAGAAGGGCTGCTTATGCACAGGGAGACAGCTCAGGGGCCAGGAGTGTATGGTGGGATGGACACAGGGAAGAGGTAACTATGGGGAGGAAGTGGGAGGGGAGCTGTTGCATTGTGCTAAACTGAGGTCAATGACATGAGACAAAGTATATGTAACCTGCTGTATGGAAAGTTAATTTGCTCTGTAAATCTCACCCAAACCACGATAAATAAATAAATAAAATAAAAAGAGGCTAGATAAAGGGCATCACAGGGGTAGTCGGGAGCAGCCTGTCTCCTCCAACAGAAGTGGGGCAGGCAAGACCATGTATAGGGTTGGCAGACAATGTTTCTATAAGTATATTTGTATGTTCTGTAAGAATTTCTAGGTATATAGTAAAGCTGACAAGGGACAAGGTTGTAGTCACTTCTTGGCTTCCAGCTTCCTGGAGGGAGCAAGCAGTTGGACCTGCGGGCTTGGGACCATGGTCGCAGAGGACATCAAGCTCAACTGACATAACACACTACACAAAAACATTGTTCCACATCCTATTTTGGTGAGTAGCAACTGGGACCTTAAAAGCTTGCAAGTAGCCATCTAGATGCAACAGTGGGTCTCTCCTCATCCAGAGCAAAGAAGAATGAAGAAAACCAAAGACACATGGAAACAATTAGTCCAAGCGACTGGTACACCATGCGATTCTCAGCCTATACACCTATAAGACTAGAAGAACTAGATGGTGCCCAGATACCACTGCGAACCACTCAGAGGGGGATCTATGTAGGAGATCCTGGATAGAGTGGAAGAACAATGTGGAAAAAAACTCAGAATCATTTAAAAAAAAAAAAGGACAAAGTTTGCTGGTCTAATAGAGCCTGATGGAACCACTGAGACCATGGCCCCTAGCTGCCCTTCAGGTCTGGAATTGAACACACCTGTGTCTTCCAGCCAAACAAAAGACAGGCATATGAACTGAACATTTATATTAGGTAGATGCACTCCTTGGAGAGATCAATCATGGGAGAATAGAAGAGCTGTGTATGTACAGGGAGACAGCTCGAGGGGTAGGAGTGCATGGGAGGGAAGGACACAGGGAAGAGGTAACTATGGGGAGGAAGTGGGAGAGGAGCTGTTGCATTGTGGGAGATTGTAGTCAATGAAAAAAAAAAAGTGGGTCAGGGATGGCCCAGTCAGGAAGGGGCCTGGGCAGGATGAAGAAGGCCACTCCCACCTCCTCTGTTCAGCTCCCAATCTCACTGGTGCCTGTGCTGCACCTTCACCACTCATGTGCTCAATTATGTACCTCAATGTCTAAAGGAAAAATCTGCAGATTTTTGTAATTACTCCATGTTCATCTCCTCAGAAGGGAAGCTCTGGAAGAGGCCTCTTGTGAAGTGGCCTCCTCTCCGTAGCACCATTCGATCCAGGGCCTTCCCCTACCCAAGCAAGGCTCTTTCTCGTCACCCCCGCAAACATGCATGCCTCCCCCATTCCTACACCATGCCTATGACCCAAAGGGCCGGAGCACCTGAATCTGCTCGAAAGGGATCTCAAAGCTGAAAGACTCATTAAAGTAGGGGTTCAGGGTCTTCTTCTTCACCGTCGTCTTCTTCTTCTTGAGCCTCTTGCCGTTCTGCATCAGGTGAATCTTCACATAGGGATCTGAGGGAGGAGAAGCCCAGCCCCAGGGAAGGTTCCCATTAGCTGCCCACCATCCCACCTTGCTCAGAGCCTGCTGAGGCCTGGCCCTCAGAGAGCCTGGAGTCTTAGGACATGAAGCCCAGAAGACACCAGACCTGTCATCTCACCCAGGAATGGCAAAAACGTTTCACCTAAAGCACCAACCCTGATGGATTGGTTGTAGCTGCCTGGACCATTATGTTGGAGAAATTCCCAAGTCTCAGGAAAGTTTCCCGAGAGAGTATGCGGCTGTTGATTGGTGACATCACAGGCAGTGGACTGAGGAGTGCTAAAAGCATGACACACTTCTGCCATCCCTGATCCAATCCAATCTCCCTAACCTTGCAGATGACAAACAGGTTCAAAGGAAGGAAATGACCTTCCCAAGGCCACACAGGGCGTCAGTGGCAGGAATGGGGCAAGAACAGAGACCTGCTGGTCAGAGCCCAGGCCAGGGACTGATTCTCTACCCTCCCACTAGAACCCTGGGCCTTGGGCCAGCCCTAGTAAAATCACCATCAGTAAATCCGAAACTTGGATCACCCTCCCTGGAGTCCTCTTCCAGGGCACAGCCAGGAAAGCCAAGAGCCTCTCCCAAAAAAGTGCCCCTCCACTCGCTGTACCCCGCAATTGCAGCATCAGGACTGGAGACGCTCTGTGTTAAGCCCTGTACACTCCCTACAGCTTTCCCCTGGGAAAGTCACTATTTATCTGGTACTTTTCTCCATGACCCATAGGGCCAAGGAAGGCAGCACCAAAGGGGGCAGGGGACCCTCAGAGAAAGGAAGGGGCAGGGAAGTCAGATACCTCCCACCTCCACCCCCAACCCCTGCTCTGTAGTCCTGCCTTTGGGGCCCACAGCTGGTCAGAGGCATCCAAGAGAAAGCTTTCTAACTGTTGTTGTTGTTGTTGTTATGTGCCGTTGAGTCTGACTCGACTCCGAGGCAGTATCACTACGGAAGTAGATTGCCCAACCTTCCTTCCGAGGAGTGGCTGGTGGGTTTGAACCGCCAGCCGTCTGGTTAGCAGGCAAGTGACTTAGCCACTATGCTACCAGAGCTCCTAACTAGGGGTGTGCAAACTCCACAGGCTTCGTGCTGTGGCTGGCTAGCTGGTGCCACCCAATGGTAGCCCGAAGCTCTGCACGTACCTGAAAGGCCCCCGACATCCATCTTCTTCAGGTTCTTGGCCTCCAGGATGCAGACAGTGAGCTTCCCAGCAGTGGGCACATAGCGCAGGGAGGTGCAGATGTCTCCCAGCTTCTCTGGCTGTCCAGGGAGGAAAAAGGACTCAGGGTCATCTCAGCCACCCCACAAGCCTGGGCTGACTTCATCTTGCCCAGACTAACAAGGCAATGGTTTGTCCCCACCTCCCTTGGTCACCAGGCCTCTATCTGTGATGGCTGAGAAGGTCTTTCAGTGTCTGAGTTCGGTGTCTCCTGCTGCAGCTCAACAAAATCCGTGAGACTGACTGGCCAGCACCGTGGGGCCCTAGGCTTAGGGTTCAGGAGTAAGGGAGACAGAGCAGCCTGCCGCAGTAGGGATAAGTGAGTGACCCTGTGTAGATCTGGAGGTGATGTGGGGCCCCAGAATGTTGAGGCCTAGGGTGGTGGGAAAGGGGAGGAGTGGGTATGGCACCAAATCTTCATTTCCAAGGGCTTGGGGAAACTGCAAGGTCTCTTATTGGCTCAAATTCTTTGTACTCAGTTACTAATTGGTAAGTCAGCAGTGCCACAGAAGAAAGATCTGGTTATCTGCTTCTGTAAAGATAACAGCCAAGAAAACTCTATGGAGCTCAGTGAGAGTTATTAATATTCAGTAACACATGGGGGCACCATGTGTCAGAATCCACTCAAGGGCATTGAGTTTGTTTGTTGGATTGGCTTCTGGGATACTAGGCATGAGCATCTCAGGAGGCTTCCTCACTCAAAGACTCCTGCCCACTGGCTCTCTGTCCACCTTTCCCTTGGTAGAACGAGTTGTGGTTTTCAAAACACTTTTGTATTGTATCCTTTCCCTTATGCTATTGTCACCTCAACTCTTTCATGAAGACAGGATGAGGATTCTTTTTTTTTTTTTTTAATTCTAACTTCTCTGATAACCTCAGTATCTACTTTAATATCATTACTAATATTTCCAGCAACACAGACAGTGATCCTAATAACAACAATCAAGAGTACCTCACATTTTATAAAATATTTTCACATACATTCTCTCACTGGGAGAGAATTCTATTTGACCAGTGAGCAACTGAGGTTCGGAGAGGCGGGGATGTGGTCAAAGTCACACACACGCACGGCGGGGGAAGGATGAGAACACAGGACTTCTGGTTCTTAGACCCTCTCCCAACACCGTTCTACCTGAGCCAAAGCTTCTAAAGTCAAGGCCGCCAGGCCAACACTGACCACATCCCAGGTGCACTGGTTCAAGTTGGGCTGACCCTGCCTCCCAAACACAAGGAAAGGATGGATATTTTAAATAAGCATCTCTTCTGGACCCTCCATCACTGTCTGCTGCCATGCTGGGCACACAACAGGGGTTATCTGAGATACCAATGACTGACTGACAACCAGAAGGGAACAGTGGTTACAGTGGAGCTTTGGCACAAAGTAAGTGCTCAATAAGGAACCTAATGGTGCAATGTTTAAGTACTCAGCTGCTAAAAAGGTCGATGGTTCAAATCCACCTTCCACTCTTAGGGAGAGTACCTGGCAATCTGCTCCTGTAAAGATTACAGCCTAGAAACCCCTATGGGGCAATTCTACTCTGCCCTACAGGGTCAGTATGAGTCAAAATTGACTCAAAAGCACCCAACAATAACAGCAGGTGCTCAGTAAAGACCTGCTGAATGAATAAACGCTGTATCAGTTGCTGGGAGGACAAGCTCCCAGGCCAAGAATTCTTTAGGACAAAAGTGGGCTTTCCTTGAGGTAAACGCAGGCACGCAAGTGACTCACTGGCCCCAGGTGACAGCAGAACGTTTTGAATAACAATAATAATGGTGGTCTTGTTTACTTGAATGAGGTCTGATGCCAGACACTGTGCTGGGTTTACATAGCCAGTTAACCCTTATTTATAAAAAGAGAAGGAGAACTTGGGTCCAAAGAGATTAACCAACTTGCCCAGGGATACACAGCCAGGAAGCACAGAGCTGGGATCCTAACCCAGCTCACATGGCTCTAAAGCCCACCTCTTCCCACTGTGCCAAGAAAGGGAAGCCCAGCGTGAGCAGCACTGTGTCCTCCTGCCTGGACTGGCCTGGCCTGTGCTCTCACCTCTTCTTTCTCCCCGCCTTGCAGATCTCTCCACTCCTCGATGGGCTGGCCAAGGTCCACTGTATTCATGGGCACCTTCACCTCTCCGATGATGTCATGTTTGGAGAAGCGGTCAAAGTCATAGATGGCCATCACTAGGGTTTTGCCCCCCAGCTCCTGGTATGGTACCTGCAGGGCACAGTCGGGGACAGTCAGAATGACTCCCAAACCCCCAGGGGGCATGGTGGACAGTCCCCGGGCCTGGGCCTCCATTCCAGATGGCCTAGAGCTCCAAGGGAGTCTGTAGACAGAGAAGATCCAGGTTCAGGGGGAGCAGAGTGCAAGGACAGATTGGGAGTGGTCCTGATTCTGCAAAGAGGCTGGGGTAGGGGCCTCATCCTGCCATTACTCCAGACAAGTGGTCCCAGGAGCCTCAGCCACAGCTAAGGACCAAGGAAAGATGTGCAGAACCCAAGGTGGAAGTGGGGTCAGAGAGAGAGCTGGCAGCATCACCTTGAAGGTGAAGGTTTCATTGAAGGCAGGGTTCAGTGTCTTCCGATGGACTTTGGTCTCATATTTCTTCTTCTTGTCTGGAAGGAGGAAGACTTTGACGTAAGGGTCAGACGTGCCTCCCATGTCCAAGGCAGGCAGTTCCGCAGCCTGCAGAACGCCCACTGTAAGCTGTGGAGAGAAGAAGGGAGGAGGCCCAAGTCTTAGGATGGCTATGATACCACACTGAGCCTCAGACCCAGCACCCATCAACCCACCAACCACTCAGGGGTGGGCAGTGCAGGAGGGGCAGGCTGGTATTAGAAATTCACAATGACAGACGGGAACCTGGAGTTGTGAGGACAGTCAATTTGCCCAAGTTTGGGGAAGTTAATAAGAGGGTCAGCCCAGGCTGACACCTTCCCCCTTCCCCCAAAGCAGGCTGGCAGCCAAGCCAGGATTGGTGTCCAAGAGTAGATGTCCTGTGGTGTCAACCTGCCCCACTCTATGGAAAGAAGCAGCAGCCACATGCCTCTAGGGGAAGGTGGTTTCCATCCCCTTCTATCCAACTCCCAGCTCTCTCCCTTCTTCGCCACCTCAACCCCCAGCCCAGCCCACACACCTGGTTGGCCTGGAAATCATAGTCCAGGGAAAACTGCAGTTTGCCCAGGTTCTCTGGCTCTTTCTCTTCCTCTCCCTCACCTTCTCCCTCGGTCAGGCCTCCCTCTGCCTCGTCATCATCCTGTGGAGACTAGGAAAGGAAAGACAGGAGTTAACAGGGGAGAACTGAGCAGGCTGGCTTGGCACTGGAGCAACAGGAAGCCTGCCCCTCAGTGCCGGACCCTGACTCAGAACTGAGTATGGGGCTAAGAGACGGGGCAGGGGACTCTACTTCCCCACAACCCACAAGAACCCCTAGTTTTTTTTCTTCCCAGGCCTCCTGCAGGCCCCTGGGAACCCCAGTCCTGGGTTTGGAAGACATGACTGGTATTTGGTGTGCTCCCATCCTCCCCATGGGCACAGTACCAAGTGCCAGAAACTATGCTAAATGCTTTACGGTTCCTGAAGCATGGGAATTGCTTCCCTTATCAACCCCCTGCCCAGTACTTTCCGCAGCTCAGGCCCCACCCACCCTGGGCAAGACATACCAGAAGTTTGGTGCAGGCAGACAGGAGCAAGGTGAGTCCACAGAGGTGGGAAGAGAAGGAAAAAAGTGGTATAAGAGAAAGTCCTACAATTCAGACCAACCACTCAAGTTGCAGCCACTTGGTTAAAACCGGGTGGGGCTGTACCCAGGTCATACTTGGAAACTGCCTCCCCACATACACCAGAGTTTTCTTTTGGACACACATACACACACATATACATATCTACATAAATGCGTGCACACACACAAGCACTCAGAGGCCATTTTGACCCCTGGCCATCCTTTTTTTTATTTTTTTTTTAATTTTCATTGTGATTTGGGTGAAAGTTTACAGAGCAAATTCACTTTCCACACAGCAGCTCACATATACTTTGTCTCATGACATTGACTGCAATCTCCCACAATGCAACAGTTCCCCTCCCACTTCCTCCCCCTAGTTGCCTCTTCCCTGTGTCCTTCCCTCCATGCACTCCTGCCCCCCGAGCTGTCTCCCTGTGCATACACAGCCCTTCTATTCTCCCATGAGTGATCTCTCTGGCCATCCTTCTTGAGAGCAGGCCCTACCTTCCATCCTCCATACTGTTTCCTCAAGCAACAGATTGCTCCCCAGTAACTCCCAAAACATACATGGAGCACACGAGGATCTTTATAAACTTAACAGGAGGGACTCTGGTACATCGAGGGCTCTTTCCAGGCTGATCAAATTCAGACAGAGTTAAATAAGCTAAATCAGGTGATTAGAGCTGGATTCTGGCCCTGTCCTCGTGCTCCCGGACCATTCTTTGGCCTCCATCTGTTCCTAACCCCACCCCAGCTAAAAAGCAAAAACAAAACAAAAAAACCACTGCCATTGAGTCAATGCCAACTTTTAGTGACCCTATAGGACAGAGTAGAACTGCCCCACAGGGTTTCCAAGGAGCTCCGGTGGCGTAGTGCTAAGGCACTTGACTGCTAACCAGAAGGCTGGCAGTTCAAACCCACCAACCACTCCTCGGAAGGAAGACTGGGCAATCTACTTCCGTAGTGATACTGCCTCAGAAACCCAAGGAGGGATCGCTATGAGTCAGAGTCGACTCGACGGCAGTGAGTTTGTATGGAAGCAGACTGCTTCTTTCTTCCACGGAGTGGCTGGTGGGTTCAAACCATCAACATTTGGTTACTAGCCAAATGTTTAACCACTGTACCATCAGAGTTCCTTCCACCCCAGCTAGATCTCTTCAGTGAGATACTGCCCTTCAGTCCCTTCTGACAGAAAAACACAGGGCTACTCACATGGTATCTTCCTGGGGAGCTGTCACTTTCTCTGACACTTTATCCCAATAGCCTCTTTGGGGTCATCATTGCCTTCTTCCTCTGTCTTTTAAAGGATACTTTCATACTAGCATGCCAGTAAGTCCCCCCTTCCCACTAGCCTACCTATAGACGATATTATAGTAGAGATGTAGCAATAGGACTGAGGTGTCTCCTCATGTGAAGTTTTAAAAAGGGGAGTCAGTTTGTTTAGGGATGGAAGCTAGAAACCCAGAAGCCTTTGCTCCACCTTTTACCATCAGGAAGGCCTAGGATGGCCCCCTCCCCCATGCAGGTGTCTTACCTGACCCCCTTTCATGTCCTTCATGTTCATGGCGTTCTTCATGCCTTTGCCCTTCTCTTTCTTGTTCTTCTTCTTCTTGCAGCAGCACTTCTTACAAATGCAGAAGCAACAGGTGAGGAGCAGGAGGCCAGCGACCACAGCAATGGCGATCAGTGCCCAGGGTGGTACTGCCCACACAGAGAAGACCATAGGAGTCAGCAGTGCCCTGCCTCACAGCACCTGACCTTACAACATTGGCAAAAATGGGTTGCAACTGTGACTCTCAATGCTGCACTTGACATTTTAACTACACACACATGCACTTTCCTTAGCCAACTGTCCTTAGGGATACAGTCTGTTAACTGAGGGGTGGCAACCAAAGAACATCAGTTTGGCTCTGCTGGGTGCTACTAGTCTGATCTATGGAAAACTGGCCATGCTGGAGAGGATGGAACAGGCCTTGTCAGAATCAGCTGCAGCAAGAACTCCTTGGCCCTACCCCATTGTACCCTGTCATGAGAAAGATGACCCAGGGAGAGAAAGGCCCAGCTCCTGAAGGTTTAGTTGCACCTAGAAGACTTAGCTTTGCATAACTCAAGTGTTTGGGGATGGGCGCCAGGTTGCTTCCAATGGTTCTGAAGCACCAGCCCCCACCAGAGCATGGCCATTCTCCCTGAAGCTGGATCTCTGGTGCCTTCCACACAGCCTTTGCCAGGAATTCCGAAAGCAACGGTGGCTTTCATTTATCTTCCAAAATAAAGTAATTTAAAATGTTACTGGAAAACTTGAATTGTGATTTCTGTTTCATATTTTTTCATCTTCCTTTGGTCTCATCTTCTTTTGGCACTTTTCTAAGTTATAAGAATTCCTTTGCCTCTTAAAGACTGGGGACACATAAACCCTTCATTAACACTAGATTATAGCTTGCTCCTCTTCCTAACAGGGATCCCCAAAGAATCCAATCTGAAATCCAAGCATTAAGAAAAAACCCAGCCAATCACATCCCACTGGTCCCCCCATCCCAGCCTTCCACAAACCCTGCTCCGTCCACAAGACCATTCCAGACTCTAGTTTTCCCCCACCCTCTCAGTCACCTCTCAGGGTTCACTCACAGGGAATCTTGTTGATCTCATTGAAGAACTTCTCCTTCAGCTTGGCAAACATGTCCTCCTTGCTCTCTCCAGTGCCCCCACTCTCGGTGGAGTTGTCTACAGGGACAACTGGCATTGTGGCAGTGGTGGTGGCAGGAGGCACAATGGGCTCCTGGTTCCTCTTGAAGATGTTCCTCATGATGGCGGAAGGGAAAGCTGGGAAGAAAAGGGGAGGGGACAGAGTGAATATCTCAGAGTCCCAAGCACAGAAACCCCTCCCAAAGGAGCAGGAGAAATGTTTCTAAGAGGTAGAATATAATAGAAATCCCTTTAAAGTTCAAAGTTCTTTCATGTAATATTAACAATGACAGGAGAACAATGATAGTAATAGCTATCATTAAGTTAGTACATAAATGTGTCAGGTGCTTTCCATGCATTATCTCACTTAATCTAAACCACCTAACATATTATTATTATTACCATTTAACAGAGAAGAAAACTGAGGTTCAGAGAGGTTAGGATGTTTCACCAAGGTCACTTAGCTAGTAAGTTCTGAAACTGAGGTTTGAACCAGTCTGCCTGACTCTAAAGCCTATGTACCTACTCACTTTATGGATCTCAGGTAGCCCCAGCCCCTAAAGAACTCTAGGAGGAAGGCAAGGTTTTCTCATTGTGGAGCCCCCTCGAACCTCTCTCCTCCTTGACTCGAATGACACTGCTCTGCCTGGTTTGTCCACCTGTCTCCCTAACACTCACACTCTGTCATCATCCTGAGCTCCATTTCCTCCTTCTGCACCTTAAGCATGGTGCTCCCCAGAGTCTCTGCTCTGTCCTCTTCTCTTTATCCGCTGGCTCCCTCAGCATGCACTCAGGGTTTGTTTCAGCCTCTCTCTAGGAATATGATCCCAAAGGTGCATTACTAGCCCCTTCCTTCCCTGGGTTCAGTCTAGATCTTCAGCCTCCAAGGTCTCCAAGCCTCCAGTCCTGCGCTCTTCTGTAGGGCCACACATGGTTACCCTGCCTATATCAAATAAATGTTCTTTGTTAATAATAAAAATAATCCATGCTTACTGTAGAAATTTTGGGAGAGAAAGAACCCATAATTCTACCATCCAGAGATAATTAAGACATTTTGTTCATAAATTTTGTTAAAATAACATTTCAGGACATTTTATGCCAATATTTCTTTTGAGTATGTGTGTGTATGTTTCAGATGTTGGAACACACTGTATATAGTTTGTCATTCTGCCCTCTTTTTTTTCTTACATAAAATTTTATCATAAGCATTTTCCTTTATCATTAAAATTTTTATCATTAAATAGCTATATAATATCCCAGTACATGGCAGAAACAATTTGTTTAATGATTCCACTATTAGACATTTAGATGGATTACATCCTTTTGCTAATAAAAATACTGTGATGAGCATAAATCTTGGTCTTCATTAAAGGAAACACTTTTATGAGCTTCCAAACTGTCCACTCTCCAATCCTGGCCTCTCTACTGAGCTATTTCTGCTTCTTAAAGTGGGGACACACGTCTCCTCTAAACTGCAAGGCTCATGAGGGCAGATCCCGTGTGGGCATCTTCACCCCTCTATGCCAAGCACTCCAGGCGGCATTTTTTGACTGGCTTCCTCAGGAAGAACAAAGCAAGTATATGCAGGTCACAAGAATAAATGGCACATCTCCCTGGAGCATCAGATTTACTTAACGAAATTTGAAGTTATTATTGTTATTAAAACATGGAATATTATAGAGTAGGATGCAAACATCACAAGAATTTTCAAGGTAAAAAATGTGAGACTTTTCTTATGTTAGGGTCCAAGTTAATTTTATGCTACTTGCAGGTTCTTCTGAGGGAAAGTGCTAGTGGCTCTGAAGTTCTATCTTCCCGTTTAAAACCCTGACTGAGTCCTCATGCACTACAGAGATAGCTCTTATTACTGTTAGGTACCACTGGGTCAATTTTGACTCGCAGGGACCCCATGTGACAGAGTAGAACTGCCCCATAGGGTTTCCAAGGCTGTAACGTTTATGGGAACACATAGTCAGGTCTTTCCCCCACGGAACTGCTGGGTGGGTTTGAACAGTGGACTTTCAGTTAGCGGTTGAGTGCTTAATCATTGAGCTACCAGAACCCCTTAACCTGGCTGTGTTGTTGTTGTTGTTTGCCGTCCGACTCACAGGGACCCCCTCCTTGGGTTTCCGAGGCAGTATCACTACGGAAGTAGATGGCCCAACCTTCCTTCCAAGGAGTAGCTGGTGGGTTTGAACCACGAGCCTTCTGGTTAGCAGTCAAGTGCCTTAGGCACTATGCTATCAGAGCTCCCTTAACCTAGCTGCTGTTGTTGTTAAGTACCATCAAGTCGGACCCAACGCATAGTGACCTCTCCTTGGGTTTCCGAGGCAGTATCACTACGGAAGTGGCTGTAGTGAGACAAAAAAAAAAAAAAAAAGACTGGAATGGAGCAAGATTCCAGAAGGAAAAGGAGAAGAGTTGAAAATGGACAATCACAAATCCTTGTGATCCCCTAAGTTCTTCTGAAGGACAAAACAGTGATCCTGGGGACTCCAGCAGAGGGAGTGACACCCAGATGCCAAGAGGGAACATCAGGCAGCAGACTGGTAGCTTTCTCAGGTCCTGGAGCTTGGAACAGCCTTTTAAATTTATCTCCAACAAGAAACATGAAGCTAAAGCTGCCCAGATAACAAGGGAGTAGTGAAGACACTTGAGAAGGTGGTCTTGACAAAAGCCAGGTGTGAGGCAATGGGTTGGGAGAGTTGGCCAGGGCAGGATTCAGGGCCCATCTGCTCAGTTGTTCATCCAGGAAATGGCACCAGCCGCTTGGACCATAAACCACAGAGCTGTCCTTGACTCAGCACCTTTCCTTACCTCCTACATCCAGGGCAGCAGCCAGGAATCGGTCAACTCTCCTCATAAATTCAGCCACTTCTGAATATTGCAATACCTTCCTATGTGGACACGTCCATTCTTGCTCCACTCAGTCTAATCTCCATGCTGCAGGCAGGCTGATTTACTTAAAACCCTTCACTGGCTTCTTATCACACTTAGCATAAAATTCCTACTTGGCCTGGCACCTGGCTAGCTCCCCAAATGCATCTCCTTGTGCCCCTGCTCCCAGTCACTGCTGGCTTCCAGTGATGGCTTCCTTGCTGCCGCTCATAAATTCAACAAACACACTCCTGTCTCACATTCTTTGCACTTACTTTCTCTCAAGCTGGAATGTTCATGCCCCAGGAATCTCTTTGACTTCCCAGGAACCCCTATTATACCTCCTCTCTTCATTTCCCATCATGGTCTGTCATGTTGATAACTATTTCCCCAGCTCCCTAAACTCCCTTCCTTCTCTGTATTTTTGTGGCATTCATCTGGTAGAAACTCCACTATCGGCTTCCTCTTTGCATGGCTGCCCCTAGACCACTGAGCACTGCTACTGAGAATCCTGCACAAGGGCAATTCACCTGGATGCCAGGTACATTCCTGACATCTCTTACCCCCTTAACACTGCATGTTGTTAGCTGCCATTGAGTCAGCCCCAACTGATAGCAACCCCATGCACAACAGAACTAAATGCTGTCTGGTCCTATGCCATCCCTGATTGATTGAACATCGGACTCTTGTGATCCACAGGATTTTCATTGGCTGGTTTTCAGAAATAGATCGCCAGGTCTTTTTTCCTAGTCTTAATCCAGAAGCTCAGCTGAAACTTGTTTGGCATCCTAGCAGCATGCAAGCCTCCACTGACAGATGGGTGGTGGCTGCACATGAAGTGCCTTGGCTGGGAGTCAAACCCAGGTCTCTAGCACAGAAGGTGAGAGTCCTACCACTGAACCACCACTGCCCCCATTAACACTGCATTGAAACCTTAATCTGCCGTCCAATTCACTCTGCCTCATTTCACAATGGTGTCTCCAAGCCTTCTCCTATCTTCGTAGACCTGTGGCTCCCCACACATCTCCTCTCTCTCTTGCCTGTTAGCTCAAGGAAGAATAGAAGCCATCAAAGAAAAATCTCTCAAAATGTCCCCCATCCCACGCCAAACCGCACACCTATGTATCCCTTAACCCACCCTCTTCTCCTGGCTTCCTTCCCATTGAAGGCCTCTTCCTCCTGTGTGAGGCCTATCCTCCACTTATATGGAATCTCTTCTGATCTCAGGGAACCTTTGCAGTCCCTGTTTTCTCTTATGCTTAGCCTTGTCTTTTCCTCTGCTAGACCTTCCTCACTTCAAAACACCAGCAACCAGTACTTTAGGTCACACAGCTAATCAGCATTTGAGCCAAGATCCAAATATGTGACTGTCTACCTCTAAAACACCACCAAACACCAGCATAAGGTGTATTAACCATACTTTGTAGCTCCTGTAACATGATGTTTTAACATCCACACCAAGAGACCTTTCACCCATGTCTGCTGTGCTCAGATACAAAACTCCATTCATTTCCCCTTTAGTAAATCCCCCAGGTATCAAGGCTCCGATTTCAAATAAAAACCAAACTTGATACCTAGTCTATTCCAACTCCTCAAGACATCATGTGTATCAAAGTGGAACGGTGTCCCATAAGGTTTGCAATGGCTGATTTTTCTGAAGTAGATTGCCAGGTCTTCCAAGGCACCTCTGGGTGAACACAAACCTTCAACCTTTCACCTAGCAGTTGAGCATGTTAACCAATTTAGTTGACCAGTAAAATCCCCAAGTGCTCTGGCTTCTTCCTTTCACATTTCCTGTGAAAATCACAATAAAGGTGTTCTTCCACAGTCCTGCTCAGAGCCAGATTAAGGCATGTGAGGACCTCAAACACTGATAATCTGTGGTCCCCTCTCCTCTGCTTACTCACACATTCAAATGGGATATGTGATATATATACATACATGCACACATATGTACATACATGCACATACACACATATACAAAATACATACATACATACACATACTTGTATATGTGTGTGGGTGTGTATGTGCGTCTGAGCTATCTATAATGTAACTTCTTTTAACTTCTATGGTATTAGCAATTGAATGCAAAAGTGGCATATTCCATTTCAGTGGAATAAGATGAACTGGATTATAAAATTTTTAGTGGATGTAGGGTACAAAGATTTTTACTGCATACCACATTGTCTATAAAAAGAACATTCCACATATACTACAACAAAGAAAATGAGTCAGCTGTTT